AAAGACACAAGTGACACCCGAAAAAAGACAGAAGTGACCCCAAAAAAACGACACAGGCAGGTGACCCCCCTTCCACTCTTCAACATTCAACCTTTGAAAACATTCATTTTCTTCCCACTGAAGCTTGTCCTCCAACGCCTGCGCTAAGTATTCGAGAAGGTTTGCTCTGTTGGTGTCGAACGATGTATGAAGCTGCTGGGGTGCCCTCGCAATGGAGCGCAAATGTTGTAGCGACATGTTCTGTGTTGTGAGCCGTTTTGCTGCTTGCCGCTCCTCATGGCAATCTGTCCCACTGCGAAGTAGCCTAACCAATCCCATGAGAGCTACCTACGGCTGATAACCTGAAGTTTCAGGTATCACAGTACCTGCAGTGACTGACCGTTAAGCCAACCCTGGTGACTCCCTTTTGGTCATGGGGATTTGAGCCCATACAGGTCGCGTAAAGGTAATGCTGAGGGCAACAGAAGTACAGTAGGAGACAGGGCAACATCTACAACACTTACACACAACATCACATAACCTGCGTGGCGGCCTGGCCCACTGCAACCGGATGGCAGCCGACCACCCGTTCCATCCAGAAGACAAAAGCGTTTAGGTACTCACTGTTCTCCGCAACGGACAGGTACACGTCTCCCAGATCGATTGTCAATGCCAAGGGTCGATCAAATTTGAAGACCGGAACGTCGTCTCTTGCAGCACATTCTGCCCTCTGAGCCCCCTCTTCGCAGTGGAATTCTCTCTGTGCTTCTCGCACCACCTGCAGCATATCCTGAGCAAGAGCAGGTGAAAAGGACGAGAGGAGGCTTTTAGAGAGATTGAAGGAGACTTGGGCGGCCAGGACTCTTGAATGGTTTGGACGGTGTTGAGCGCATCCACGAGGTCCCCCGAAGAGGCGATGCAGTTCCTGAAGTTGGCCACGTCCGTCAATGCTCCGGCCACGCAGCTGCGAGGCAAGATCGCCTCCACGGAGGGAAGACCCTCCAAGTTCCAGAGAAGAATGGATTCGGGAGTGCTCAGCCTGGCATCCTCTTGGATCAAAGCGGAGTACTGCAGGAAGTCATGGAAATCATCGCGCAGGGCCGCTCTGGTGGCCGGTTCACCCCAACGGCCATCTTCCCAGTACCAGGAAAGGTCGAAGGAGGGGATGACTTTCAGATTGTTTGCGGTCGCTTGCTCTAGGAATTGCGTGTGGCTTCGATGTCCAAAGCTCCATGGAGCCAAGAGAAGCGCATTCGCACCGAGCTCGTTTCGGATCACTGGCAGATCCCTCGCCTCGGCTAGTTCCGAACTCGGGCAGACCTACATGGACCAAAGTCTACCAACACCTCTCCCAGCCGAGTCAGGTGAGCAGCATGAATCTCTTGGTAGATGTTGGTATAGGGATCACGGTCTGGGTTGATGAACACACCTTCGACAGAAGTCAGAAGTTGGGATCTGGAGTTTCTCACTTCAGGGTGACAGCCATTCAATGCATATTGCTTGTAATATCGACTCCCCCCCCCCCCGGATACAGCCGCGACCTGGCTGCTGGAAGCTCATGTACAGCCCAACCCAGAGGCTTGGTCGGCGAGACATGAAGTTCGTTCTGGCACATTTGCTCCTTTACTTCATACTCAACTGCATGTCCTACGACACTGTCTCAACACCCTGCCCTTTGCTGAGAACCCTTCTCAAAAACACAGGTCAAAGACGGGCAAGAAGAGGGAAGCCCTGCCCCTGACGCTTTCCCTTGCACCGAGACATGATGGCAGCTGCCTTGGTAGCCGACTGGCTCTGGCCAGTACTTCACGGCGTGGATTTGCATGTCAGTTGGCATCACAGCACCAGTGCCCATGTCGAGCATCTCCAGATCCGCGCAGGAACACGAGGTTGTTGCACAGGTCCAGGGTGTCTGCATCCGCACTTGGACGGAAGAATTTGAAGCCAGCATTAGCCGCGGGAAGAGCCATAGGAGGGCTCCGATTGCTAAGTCTCTCCGAGCCATGCTGTGGCTCAGACTCTTCAGGCCTGTACCTGTTGAGCAAAAGCTGCTTTACAGTCGCCTGTCGGACCGCTGCGTGCTTAATCGGACAGCGACAGCAACTTGCACTGCAAGCCCTCCAGCATGCGTTTTCTCCTGCAACATTGGCCCTGTGGGGCCAGACACTATAAGCAAAAACAATTCTGGGCGAATACATGCAGGAAGGAGGGAAACCCATCGAAGGTCGTTCTTCAACTCTTCACTTCGACACAGGATTCCCAGTCTCTTCGATGGCGACAAAGGCTGCCACAAGTCTTGGAGCGAATTTGTTAAAACGCCGTTGAAGACTCTCAGATTTCCCATTCCGTCCTTCCAGACGGCTTCGTCCTTCGAAGTGAGAGTTTCAGGTCCTGTGGCAGGGGCTCCACCACGGAGTGCTCTTGCTCTGCACAGAGCACTGCCTCCTTGAAGGACAATCGGTGTCGGTGCAGAAAATTACGAGCGCACCAAACCACGTCCTCCTCAAACGTGATGCGTGCTCCGTATTTGCTGTCAGAGACCGTTGGATGGCCGATGTAAGCTGTGTGCAAGCGAATCTGGTGTCGGCGACCGGTGAAGATCACAATCTGCACGAGACTAAAGCCTTGACAAAGCCTGAAGGTTGAGCCCACCCGGTGCACGTTCGATAGAGCGGGGCGCCCTTCTGGGCGAACGACACTCGCATTCGCCAGCCCACGCAGCCAGAAAACTGGTGCAGTAATTCGGCGATTCCCAATAAACCCATGACAAAGGGCAGTGTACTCACGTGAAATCATGCCCATGGAAAGCTGCAAGCGAAGATCGTAGTAACCTGAATAGCTGGTTGCAGCAAGTATCAAGCCGGAACTGGGAACATCAAGGCGATGCAGGAAACCTCGTTGATGATACCTGGCTGTTATCGTCACACATCATGACCCCTTGGAGAGACTATCCAAGTGCCTCAAAGCTGCAAGTCGTTCAAGAGCACTTGCCGCTGGATCGGAATGGTAGAACGAAGAAACCCGGAAAGCGGCCGCCCTTCGCTGGTCATCTGATCATCGACCTATGCACTCGTACAGTTTGTGCTCAAGCAGGGATGCTGGCGCTTGCATCCGCGCCTGCCAGCCAGCCGGTTTGTACAGCACGAGCCGGTCAGACAGGTCTTCAAGAAGTCCTTCGCTGAAGCACAAGGACTCTCTTTGCCGCCCGGCACCCCCATTCCGTGCAACCTTGCTTCTGGGCCGGTGGCCCTCGGCTCCAATGTCGATCTCCGTGCATGCCACCGCAGCCGGCATTACGGCAGCCATGGCATCCAACATCTTACACGCCGTCAAGACAGGCTCGGCCAGCGAAGTGGCCAGAAATCTAGCCGACAGCGCGCCGGCAAGGTGGCAAGCCCAGAGCCTCAGCGCCGCCGTCCCGCAAAAAAACAGAACGAGAGCTGCAATCCCCGGCGACCCCTCTCAGCCATGGACACTTCTGCCACGACGGACACAAACTGAACCAAAACCTCTCTCGGAGAATTTTGTGTCAGCATACGTCCTCTTCGATTCAGGTCTCCTGCCAGATGTGCAGAATCCAAGCACCGCATGACGGCAGCGCCGAAACGCCCTTGCCAGGACCTTGCAAGACGAGGAAGATCCGGGCAGCATCCACGTCCAGGCTGGCCAAGCCCCAAGCCTTGGCCGAGGTCCGAAGGCGCTTGCAATGCTCGGCAAACTCTGTGACAACTGTGAAAGCCTCGCACGAACTGCGACCCGGATACGAGGTTGGCCAACATGCGCAGTGAAAGAGTCGCGGCTTGGCCAATCTCAATTTGGGATCTCGCCATCTCCACAACTTCCTGAAACGAGCAATGCAAATTGTCTAAGACGAAACCTGCTTTTCCAGGGCCGGCCTCCACAGCTGTGCCATCCAAGCCGACAGAGGCCGCAGACCAGATCCAGTTCGAAATATCGGTAAGCTTGCTGTAGGGTTGGGGCCTCGTAAGTGCCAGCAGAGGTGCCATTTCACTCTCGCCCGCCTGGCTGAGCTTGGCCATCCTCCAGGACACTTCGCTGCGTTCAAGGGCCGACAGGCGCAGAGCATCGCAAGCGTCGCTGCGCCCTTCCGACCTCAGCTGGCTTACGACTCTTCCAACCACGGTCGTGGTCTCTGTGAGCAGCTCCTGTACCACTTTCCAGCGACAACTCTTCTCGCATGCGCTGATGGCAGCACTGTAGGCGAGCGCATCTGGTGAAAGGTGAAACCGGAAAGTCCTGGCAGGGCACAGCGCCCGAGGGATCGTGCAAAGAGCTCCTAAACGTCTGGCTTTCCACAACGCACATATCACATATCCCTCCCCCTGCCTCGCGATCTGCTCAATCGCCAGATGCCAGTGACTCGACTTCTGGATTGCACTCGCGGTCGTGTCGATGCCAATCTGTGAAGGCAAGAAGTTGAGCATTGTTTGCTGCTCTTCGGTGCGCTGCAAAACGCTTTGCCACTTGGAGCTCTTCTCCAGGCTGCTCGTGACTGCGTTGTGGCCCACTTCCGAGAAACGAACGGACCGCTCTTGGATCTCCCTGCAAACATCAACCGCTCTCTGCCAAAGGCTTACACGTTCACATCCACTGACGGCTGTGTTGTGAGACACTGAATCTGCTCGCGCAGAAAAGGTCTGCATCCTTTGCAATTCACTCAAAGCTGCTTCCCACTGAGTGCCAGTCTGGGCAGCCGAGATCGCAGCGTTGAAAAGAATCGTGTCGGGCACAAGCTTCAAGTTCTCGAAGTCTCTGACCAACTCCAAAGCTAGCTGCCACTGGCTTCCCCGCAGGCAGGCGGCAATGGCCGCGGTGTAGGTGACAGGATCGCAGAGTTGACGTCCTGAGCCTTGTTCACAAAAGAAGTGCAGGGCAAGCTCCCAGTTTCCGCTGCGAGCAGTAGCGTCCATTGCACAACTGAGTGTGGTCTCATCCAGCAATGCCTTGAAAGACAACAGTTCATCAAGAAGACTAAGTACCATCTGCCATTGACCGCCTAAGCCACATCCTCGCATCGCTGCAGCACATGGAGCGGCCGAAATCCGAAACCGTGCTGCGCGCATGCAGCAGAGTAGCTCAATAGCTTGCTCCCAGTTGCACGTTCCGCTAAAACTCTCCAAAACAATGTGATAGCTGACCTCATTTATGCTGTTGCTATGCTTGACGATGTCCATTGCGACTGCCCATGCTGCATGTTCACAGCAGGCACGAACCGCCGTGCTGGTGCCAACGGCATCAACTGCACGCAGCGTTCGGAGATGCGTGAAGAGGCCCAGTGGCGCCTGCCAGCTAATGCTGGAAACCGCTGCCATCACAGTGGCATAACTGACGGAACTCGGGCTCCGTGTTTGACGTGTCTGCATGTCCTTTAGGCATGCCAGGCATTCAGTCCAATGAAAAGCACGCATGCAGCTGGAAATGGCGGCATTCTCACTGATCACATTCCTTTCGAGCTCTTGCCCCATCGAGGCCAATGCTGTCAAGGAGATGCTCCACCCCTCTGCCTCCTCGGCCGCGCGGATGGAAGCTCCATACACAGTGGGATTCCCACGGATGTCCAACTTGCGCATCCTGCCATCACAATAGCAAATGGTACGTGCCTGCGCCAACAATCCTGAACGAAGCCCCCAACATTCTTCCTTGACATCATCTGGAAAGCCCAGCTCCAGGACATGCCACGCATAGAGCTTATGCTAGAGCTGCAGGCAAAGACGTTGGGCAGAATTGCCCTACCTGGCAGCGGTGTTGCAAGTTTCGGAGGACTTGAATGTATGCCATGGAAGGAAGCTTGGTGCCTGCCATAGCAGCCACCAAAGCCAGCGCCAAGTGCCAAAGCCGGCCTCGGGAAAAAAGTGTGTTTTTGAGTGAAGAGATCAAGTAGGTCTCTGGCCAACGGCTGAGGACCGAAGCTTCCGAGATCGCCTCCGTGCGCAGCCGAAGCAAAAGTAGAGGCTCCGGGGATGCTTGAACCTGGGATCCCGTGGGACGTGGCATCCACATGACTCAGCATGACACAGCATGACACAGCTAACTTCGCTGAGCTGCCATAGGTCACCACATCAGCTTGGAGCCCCGAAAGGGTCAACAAGCACAAGGTCCGCTGCCAGAGCCCTGGCCGCGGTGGTCATGGCACATGACACTTGAACACCAGCTTTCTGTCCTCGCTTGGAGCAGGAGCTTATCGCGGAATTCCAGATGATCTGGTCGTGCAAACCCTCCTTGGCTGCAGGATGCACGCCTGTCTTGTAGGTTGGGATATGAGCAACACCGAAGCTGAGGCCGGCCGTGGCACAGCCAAGGCGCTGCCATGCTCTCGTAGAGATGCAAGGCGAGATGCCACTGCGAAGCCTTCCAGACTGGCAGACTCTGGCAGACTGGTATAGGAAGCCCTTTTGGGGCGTGACGTGCCTTCTCGCAGACCGACACGGCTGCTCCGAGGTGGTATCTATTGACCTGACCAGGCGCAGGAAAGGACTTTGTCCTCAAGCTTTCGCACAACGAGCCAAGCGCCTCTACTGTAGAAGCAGACATGCACTTCAAGATCTGGAAGGCTACCTGCCAACGCGGATCACAACGCGGAAAGCAAAACTGGCCCCGGCCCCAGGCCTCCGGCACCTTCGGATGCAGCGAACGTAACAGAGCCTCAGCTCACGACGACCCAGAACGCGATCACGGCTCGACAGCGGCATGAGGTGCACTCGCTTTCTCGGCCTGGGAACGGTCGCGAACCTAGGCCTGGAGACCCAATCTGCGTCCTGCAAGGAGTTCGCCAGGATCCTCGACACCTGTTTTTCGGTGACAGAAGACAGAAGATACGAGACGGCACCCTAGGGAGCATGCCCTGCGGTGGTCACTCGCATGTATGTTCTTTGTCTTGGAGTCCCAGCCCGTCCTGCTGCTGAGATGGTTTTGGTCCCAGGGAGTTCAGGCATGCAGCTAGATCCGCCACGGCCGCCATGCTCTCATGTGCTCTCCACTGCACGTCAGCACTTCCAAGGCTGCCAATAATCTTTGGCCAGCCGGGTGCTACGGGGCCTTGAGCCCATGCGAAATGCTTCCGGGTGCCGTTCGCGAGGCCTATGCTCCAGCAGCTGACAAGCGCACGGCACTGACCTGAGAGTGCCCTTCAGGGCGCCTGCAGGGTTCATCTCACAAGTGCATGACCCCTGCCAAGTCGCACACAGCGCAACTTTTCATGCAAGCTCCTTCGTATTAGTGTCGGTCTCGGCTCGCAAAATGCTTCACGGTAGTCACTGAGTTTGCAGCCAAACCAACATAAAGAAACAAAATAGATATTCGCTAACCGGCTAAATAAGCGTGCGGTCTAGATGTGTCTACATCATCTGGCGCAGTGGGCGCCTGGGTGAGGAGCTAGTCGGAGGCAGTGAGACTGGGAATTCAGGTGCAAAGGGACCAGGGTGTTGTCGGCCACTTCCCTCTCCAGCTATGGTGAGGCGGCCGGCGAAATAACTGCCTTGCCTAGTCGTTACACCTGCTGGGATCCCTTTGCAGGCAATCAACTGCGCTTACCCTGCAATCAAACGGTTTCATCCTTATCCTCGGACTCTGCAGGTGTTGCCGGTGCCTCCAAAGCATGTGCAATGTTAGACGGTCCGATGCCAAGCAACACTTGAAGCTGCCTCTGTCGTGGGTTGGCTGTCCTCGAGGTAGGTCAAAGTCGATTCGGGCAGCCAGGCCGTGAGGGAGACCGAAGGAAATCGAACTTGCAGAGTGGCATCCTCCTGCGAGCCGTACATATGTGCACACAAGTTGGAAGAAACTGCGGATCCAGGGAGCCTTGTCGTGTTGCACCACAAAACCTTCCTGGCCGCTCAACTTAGCCAGTCGGTCGTCCCACTTCAGCGCAGAATGGGCCTGGCGCGCAAGCACACGAAAACTGCTTGCGCACCGCACGCGCACTGCAAGCCCCCGTCTTCCCTCAACGCCTCGACGGCTTCTAAGAGTTGCTGTGTCTCGCAGGCTTTCACTCGCTTGCAAGGCTGCGTCAGTTCTTGGAGCATGCCTCAAGCAAGGCACGTCGCCTTCGAAATCTCGAGAGCACAGCCGAGCATCCGAACTGTGCTAATCGAGTGGCTCGTGGGAAGCCACGCTTTGAAGCCTAATGGAGGCGGAAATCTGACCTGCGCAGACCGGCCGCGCTACTTCTTGCCGCTCACCCTTTTGCTGTTGTCCCTCCCTGCCTGTGCTGTGCCATCTGACTCGTCGTCTCTAAGAACGATGCCCTCGCAACCGCAGGCGTCTGCCAAGCGGTCGTCCCACTTCAGTGCCTGAGGTGCTATGCAAGTTATGACGACCCCGCGGGGTCGAAGTCTGTGAGGCCGAGGGGCACTATGTGCTTCCACTGCCGGCTTCAGTTCCTCTAGCTTCGCAACCCTCACAGTTCTCATTGGCCTGAGCCGCGAAAGGGTGCCGGTGAGCAAAGACAGCGGCCTGCCTCTCTGAAGCGACTGAAATTGAGATGCCAGCTCTTGGTCGTTGATCAACAGCCGGTCAAGGCCTGGCTGAGACCGGCTAACGATTCGGACAATCAACCAGCGACCTGCCTAACCCCGAATTCTCGGCCATGTCTCGCAATCGCCTAAGCGGCTTGCGTGGTTGTCCAGGCGTAGCAAGGCAAGTGAGAGCGAGAGAGCGAGAGAGAGAGAGAGAGAGAGAGCATCTTGCCACCTGTGGCCAAGCGAGAGAGCGAGAGAGACGGAGGCAGAGCATCACCCGTGCCAGTTTCTCGGGCTTTAGGACGTTGAACGGTGGAACGAATGCCTTCTCTCCGCCTCTCTCCCCTTGTCTTAGTGTAAGCCATGGGCGGGTTGTTCTGCAACATCTCCCAAAGCTGATCTCGGGAAAGTGCATTACCTTTTGATCAGAAGCTGCTGTCGTCACCTCTGGCACTGCTTGCATCGAACTCCAGCCTTCAGAGTCGCCTCCCTCTCCCATCCCTCCAGCTGCACTCTCGGAGCTTGTCCTTGCCCATTCCGGAAGTAGTGAGAACAGACACAGGCGCGCGGCAAGAATAAGCCGGAGCCTATCCAGCCAGTTTTGGAACCAATCAACTCGTTCGGCAGAGCCTAGCGTCTCTTCTGCAGCCACACCGACGAGCACGCTGAAAACACGTTCACGGAAGCTGCTGGGCGAATCGGCAGTGGTGCCTTGCTCAAGTTCCTTACCTGGCCCTGGACCGTATTGGCTCATCTCTGCTGCCAACTCTTTCGCAGCCTCGGGGTCGAGACGGAGCGCCATCAAGCAGTCGAAGAACTGTGATGTTTTCCAGTGGGCATGTGCTCAGCTCGGGAAGCAGCATCCGTTTCTTCGTCACTGGTCGCCAGCTGTTTCTCACAGTTGTAGTAGCGCCTGGACCAAGGTGCATGCCATGCATGGTGCATCAAGGAGGCTGGGCGAGGAAAACTTGAGTGGAGGCTGAGGCCATGGCTTCTCCAACGCTTGAGGCAGTGTAATCCCTGCATGCTCTGCCATCGATGCGTACGCCTGACAGCTGGCGTGAACTCTGCCACGTGCCATCGAGCACTCGAGCTCAGAAGTTGCTGTTGCGGGCCTGCCTTCCGGAAAGCAGCGTTTTCAGGCGCTTCAAACGGACCTGGAATAAACTCCACCGGCTCACCTGGCACCTCAGCCAGCGCAGCAGTACAGCATTCGCAAGACACTCACTGATCCAGGAGCCCATGGGGCCCGCTCTGCATTCACCGTGTACAGTGCGCTACTGACACTACTGTATGCTCTCAGCATTGCTCTCCGGTGGGTTCCACCGAGCATCGCAGTTTCTGCATTTTACCCTCAGAGTCTGAACATGTTGGCAATCACCTCATGTTCTGATGTTCAACCTCATACCGTGCAGAATTGAATGTTCGTCGTGGGTCCTTTGCAGACTTCTCCTGAGATTCCCCACAGAAGCAGTGTTTGCCTGGGTGCATGAATGCAGCTCCACAGAGACAAAGAATGTTCGATTACCCAAACGGCTTTTACAACGTCACCACACCTGCAACTCCGATAACCCTTGCACTGACGACTGTGCTTCTACCGATGAGGCGACATGAGACGGACTCTTGGATTCGAGAACTCCTACTAACTTATTGCAGACTAACCTTTGGACACTGGAGTGCAGCAGTGCGTGTTTGGATGCTGGGGTGCTGCGCTCTTTACTAACTTATGATGACAAGTCAGGTCTCCACCTGCAGTCCATCTGGTTCATTGTCAGTACACGACCACCCTATGCTTTATGGAGAGCTCGTCTTCTTCTTCTCACACACACACTCTCTCTCTCTCTCTCTCCCGGGCCCGGGGACGCTGACCCACACTCTCTCTCTCTCTCTCTCTTCTCTTCAGCACAGCCAAACTCTCTCTTTCTTTCTTTCTTTCTTTCTGCGGGGCGTAAGGGTCGACTACCCGACCCTCAGGCCATTGGCCCGCCCAACCNNAGGCCATTGGCCCGCCCACCCACCCCTCGCTCTCTCTCTCTCTCTCTCTCTCTCTCTCTCCCTCCCGGGCATAGGGGCCTGTCGAAGCCTCCGGGCATCATGCCCACCCGATGTTTTATCGGGCCGAGGGGAGTGAGTAGCGAATAGCCGTATTGGATGAGTCAGTCTGAGGCAAGAACCTCACCACCGCCCAAGAGGACAATCATACAAGAGAGATTGTCTTTGGATCCGCATTTAATCGCCTGTACAACGTGAAGCAAATCACAGCATGTCAGACCAACCCCTGAAGAAGATCCGCCTCGTGGCATACGGCAATCGCAGCCTGTGAGTCATGAGTCGAAGCTGCCGAATCATGTGATCGTAGCAGCCCTAGCACTCTGTTGGAGGCCTGAGCTGGGTCAACTGGTTGGCCCTCAAGAATCTGCAGCTTCTCCGCTGCCAATTTGACAACGGCCTCGTTTGGAAAGCTGCCTCCAGCCAGCCAGGGGTTATCTCAGCAACTTGCTAGCCTCACAAAGCGAAGCAAGCCTTCCGATATTCCATCACAAACCAGCATAAGAAAATCCGTTGGTCCACAATCGAACTCCTGGCACGAAATGCGGGGCGCTGCGGCGACCGTAGCAGTGACGCAACTGCGTCATCAGCCTGAAGCTCGGGGGCACAGCTCACCGGGTGGTCCTTCGGGCTTGGACCTGAGACAGTGCTGAGAGACCACAGTGACACAGCGTCGCAAGAACGTCACATTTGGAGCCTCGCCTCCCGTGTTCTTGTGCTGCGCATCGCCGAAGGCACGGCTAACGGCCAAGTCTCCATTCACCCGTGCCACCCCCATTACCTGCGTGCCATCCATCCACACAGATGGCCCACGTCATTCCAAGCACGCAATCTAGGGTCGGGACTTCCTGCACGTTACCGCCAGTGCGCTCAATCCGCGCTCTTTCGCTCGGAAGGTCTGGCTTATGGTCCTCACACGTTTGCACTTTGCGGAAGCGGAAGCTGCACAACAACGCTTTCCTGGCCGTTACAGTCGTGAAGTCTGCCTACCGCGCATTTCATGGTATCAGGGGTCCGTGGTGAGGCCACGGTCGGTTCCAGGCCCAGGGAAGATCGAACCATCAGCCCGCCCCAGAAGCACACGGCTATCGCCAATGTTGCCCACTCGGAGGTGATAATCGCCTGATCGATGTGAAAAGTTTTTGATTGCATGGCACCGAGAAGAGCAAGATCCCTCTCATGGGCACAGCATGGCAGCTGTGGTGCCTCCAGGCGTGCTTGGCGCTTGAACAATGACAAACGTTCCTGTCGATCCACTAGGCTGGTTGGAGTCGAGAAACTCCTTGTCTAAGCGGAATGCCTGTCAATGCTCCAGGAAGCAGCTGCTGAAAAAGCACTCCAACTTCAATACATTGCTTCCCCCCTGCGCAGACTGGGGCGGCGGCCAATTCTGTAACAGCTTCGTCACTCTCTGGCATCCCACTTTTTGCGAGCTCTTCGTTGATGCGTCTGGCTATGAAACCAGAACACTGGTCACCTCCGTGACCATCGAAGACTCCGAAAAAACCCCAGGTATCTTGGGCATAGATGACGTGGGCATCCTCCATGCTCGGTCGCCATCCGTTCATCTCTGCAAAACCAACTCGAAAGGCCGTGCCGCCAACTCGCCTTGGCACAGCGCACGCTAAAACCCTAAACCCTAAACCCCGAATTTCAGCTAGCAGCGGAAGCTTCTGGTTTCAAGCCAGGGAACTTGACCGCCACCGAAGTGACGGCCTTTGGCAAGCCCTGCCCCATATTTTGGAGGTGGCGGCTGCCTTCCGTGTGGCCCTCCTGCCAGTGAACAGTACCTCAAGACTAATCCTTTCTGGACTGCGCCGACTGTGCCTGCAAACTCTCTGTTGTTGGGCCGGGCCAGCTGAAATCCGAAATGCCACAGACATGGTGCAAAGGACTCAGAAAGCCAAGCAGGCATGAGTCGATCTGTGACGCGCTGTAACTGGGAGCGGAATCTGCGGGTCTCAGTGCACGGTGCTTTTCTTGCCACTGCGCGCTCAGTTCTCTGTCCCACTCTGTTCCGCATCATGTAAAAAATGCTCGGAGGCTGTTACGGGCGCAGCCTTGCGCACCTCCTGCGTCGGGTCTGCGCTCATCGTGATGAGCACGGTGAAACCGTTTGGCCTCTGCTTCTTGCAAAGGCCAAGACCATCTCAAGACAGCCCCGGGAGCTCGAGCCTTGGTCGCACGAACTCGCGTCGCCCTCGCATCGCCCTCTCTCCTCTCATTGCTCTCATCTCTTTGCCTCAGCTCAGAGCCAGACCTTCTATGTACAGGCCAGGACAAGGCAACCGGCCGTGCGTTTCTCGTCGGACGGTCCAGGCACCTGCGACGCACCTGCGAAGGCGAGAAGAGAAGCGAAAGTCCAAGAGCCGAAATGATGACATACTTCGAATGAACTCCCACCCTTCAAGAATGTCTTGCCATATGGGGGTCTTCAAACGCCTTGTCCTAGTCCTAATGATTTGACGTTGGATGGAGGACGGGCGGACGGGAGAAGCCGGTGAAGGAAAAAATCAGAAGCTTAACATGATTGAGATGTAAAGCCAACACACTTCCTGGAAACAAGAAACACAACTGACAACAGTGTATGGATCCAGCATTGGAGCAGGTATTTCGCTCTACATGCATCTCGGAGCTTCCTGGAGTTGAGACAACCAGATGCTCCACACAGCGTTCGAGCTTCAATCGCAAGGCGAGCTCTGTGGCACTGCCAGCACAGGTCTTACCTCAGCCTGCAGCTGCGTTCCGCATGCGACCCAGCGCCGCCCATTCCTCAGCGGTGCCCAAAACACTATCCATGGTCCAAGAACATTCTCGAATGCTAGGCTCTGGCATCGTCGCGATCGCGGCCTCGGCCTTTGCCACGGTCCTTGCCTCGGAGCTCCAATCTCAGAATCAGAAGCTCCGTTGACTTCGGCTGAGGAGCGCACCGCCGCCGCCGCTGTTCTTGCCTGCAGGGGCTAAGCGGCGAGAGCGGCTGAAAGTCCCTTGCCGCAGCGCCTTGGCCCTTGTTGGCCCCTCTGCCCCCTGCAGCACCTGCACACAAAATCTGCACCAAACAACTCCAGACACGTCCACTTTCTGACTAAGCTCGGAGCCCTTTTTGCCACCCCAAGCCTTGCAAGCGAAAACCAGCAAGGATCCCCATGCAAAGGTGCAGACGATCGGGAATCCAGCATCTCCACCTTTCCATCCACCGCCTCACGAAGTACTGAAGCGACGCAGCCCTATACACAGCTGACCCGAAGCTTTCCATCCGTCCACCCTGCCTTGATCGTCTCCATACCGGTCCTCCTCCTCCTGAGAGCGATGCAACTCACGCGGTCTTTCTTCCTCCTAGAACCGAAGCGTACTTGTGCGTTTGCACATTCGGGGAAACACTTGTGCCAGCATACTGCGCAAAGAAACTGTGGCACTGTCGGCGTGACCAAACAGTGAGAATTCCGAGCTCTTAGCTTCGACTGCACACGCAGGCACAGGCACGCAGTCTCAAGTCTGGGCCACAGCCGCCGGGCCTCGTTCCAAGAAGGGCGGCCGCCTGGCACTGAGGTCCGCTGAGTCCCAAACGTCTCCTGCAAAGCTGATCCTGCCTTGGAGCATGTTGCGATCTTCATAACCGGTTCCACCTTTTCCTGTGGCACCACTGCATCCGCTGCAGGCTCCATGGCCACCTCCACAACCCTGTCGACAGCCACCGGCAGCACAGCTACCGGCACAGCCACCGGCACAGCCACCGGCGCAGCCACCTGCGCAGCCTTGACAGCCACAACCACCACAACCCTGGCAGCAACCTCCGCCAGCCCAACACCCACACCCTTGCCCGGGACAACCCTGGCATGCTTGATAGCCTTGACAGCCCTGGCATGCCTGGCATCCCTTACACCCTCCGCAGCCATAGCCACAGCCCTGGCAGCCCTGGCAGCTTCCACATCCTCCACAACAGCCACAACCCCCGCAGCCTGCAGAAGAAGTGCGCAAGTGAAAAATACTCTCTCGGCTTAGGTTCCAAGGACTAGTACTAGAGCAACCTATTTGCATTGCAATCTGCCGACAAAAACCCGTGCCTGCTCCCGATTGCTGCTGTGCCATTTGCTGCTGCATCATCTGCTGCTGCATCATCATCCTGCCATGCAGGATCAGCTGCTTCGGCTTCAGATCACGAGATGCGTCGTCCCTTTTGCTAAGGCGAGGGTGGAGGCCTGGAGCGCTGCACCCTCCCGGTTTCACTTCAACATGCCAGGCAGTCTGTTGCTGCTGCGGACTCATTTGGCTCATCCACCCGGAGTTCATGGGCATCATGGCCTGGAAACACAACTTCGACTTCGAAAACAAGAAGATTCGACACTGCTGCACAGCCTGTGGACTTCCGTGGAGCTGCATACCTGGAGCCCAACCGGAAGAAACAAACTTAAATCTCACTGCTGCTGTGGCCTCCATAGGGAGCACCATATTGCGGCTGGCCTCGGCTCTTTACGACCGCTACGACATGCGCGTGACCAGCCTTGCTTGAATCGCCTGCCACGTTCTCGCTGTGGCACAGGGACAAAAAGAGCGGCTAAGAGTAGACTGCGGCCCTTTTGAGGCCAAGGAGGCCGGGGTCCGGACCCATTGCAGGCCTAAGACCAAGGACCAAGGACTCCTGCTTATGTCCTTGTGCGACTGCCAGATTCTAGGGCCGCTGCGGCTGCTGCAACCTTTCATGGGCAACGCTCTGGGCTTCAAAAGCTTCTGCAAGATTAGTTTTGAATAAAGTGCAACTCAAATTAAAATCAGCTGCCGAACTTCTATGAACAAGCATAGGCTAACCTCAGACCTCAGATCCGACGCACCCCCACGCGTTCACAATCCCATGTCTCAACACGCTTACTCAAACCACCATTCTAAAACCGCTGTACGCAAAAAGCAACTGCCGAAATCCGCATAATAATCCATAGTACGACCCAAAAACAAAGCAGCTCACCACAACCCGAAACAACATCCAAAACACCAAAAACTAAGAGCACACTCAACCGTGCCCTAATGAGATCTGGTGTATGACCCCTTGATGTTTATGGCGCTTTAACATCAACCGGAGCAGCAACACTTTTTGCAACGATGACGTGCGATGATGTAATAGAAACATCCGATATGACATTGAAGGAAAGCACGGCGGAGGTGAACGGTAATTTTTAAGATGCGAAAATGCCAAAAGCGTGGGACACCATGTTCAGTCATAAAAAAAACGTCAAAAATATTGTGATGGTGAGCCGCTCGAGATTGGATGACGAAATAACAGAAATGAGGAAAGGAATATCCAAATTTGAAGGCAGGGAACGTGAAAAGTCATTAAGATTCAAAACAACATACAAATTAACAACATGCGCATGCCTACCCTTGAGGAAGCACAGCAAAGAAATAAGATTGAATGAACCATGGAAAACACACAGCGAGACTTCATGTCTTGGAACTCAATACAGTACTTGATCTGTAAAGTTCGAAAGTGGAATGCAAATGTGACACACGAGGAGCATGCATGGCTACCACGAGACTGGATGTTCGAGACGCCCGCAGTGGAAAGAAGAGGCTAATCATGTTCAGAACAATAACAACTTTCACAGTGGCGATAAGCGTATGCCTTGTATTTTCGTTTGGTCTGCTTCCGCTGGCAAAAAGACCGTACACAACCATATAAATCAATGACTAACCTAGGACCCGGCATCAAACACATGAAGAAGTACTTCCTTTGCAGCCGCCTTCGTTCAAGTCATGAACAGGAACTCTGCAGTACATGGTTGAGGCCTTTTAACGTAGAAGGTTTGATTCAAAGTCCGTCTTGTTCCAAAAGCATTTAAAGAAGTACCACTTTGATAGAATAGTTAAATGTGCAGTCATGGTGAACAGGAGAAAATATGAATGGGTTCTTGAAGCACATAGAACGCACAACTTAGCAAGGAGCACGAAAGATTATTCGTAGAAGCTGGGGAATATTTACTGGAAGTAAGCGCAAGAAAGACAAAAAAAAATGTGCCAGTCAAACGCAACGGAAAACTGAAAGAACAAGTCAACACTGACCACTATTGTGATAGAACCCACAGAGTAAGTTGTAGAATGAATTGAAGCGCTAAGAAGAAAAGAACAGGATGATGACGGTATAGTGTTTCACTAGTCACTAGTTGCTATTTTCAGATCTACGTTGGGGTGGCGAGGCTTGGAAGCAAGCGCACCGGCTTACATCATTTCCCGGTTCAGGGTTGTGGGTTCTCAACACGCAAATGCAGTGATGGACGACGATCGACAGATTAAACGAAAGCACGCTGATGGGCAGTGGACCCTCAGATCCGCAAAAAGATCAGTGCTGGCACACCGGAGACCACCCATGCTTGCGCACTCTGGGCATCCCGTTGCATGACGGAGCTCCACTGTAGCTGCTTTTGCAATGGGCAGCTAGCAAACAGCCAGAGCCATAGCACAAAATCGAAAGCCATAAATCCGAAAAGCAGAAGGGCCTTGGATGGGCTCACGTTACGGGACACCCAACATGCTGAAACCCTAGATGCTTCTTGTTTAAGCCCCAAAAAATGCACTTTGTCCTGAAATGGGTTGGGGTCACGTTGCAGTTCGGATTCCCGGAAGCCAGTTTGGAGCTTTTCGGAAACCACAAAGGATTCGGAAACCAGAAACGGATCAATCACAAAGCTCGAGACGGATCTTCCGGCAACAACAAGCACGACGATAGCAACGGTGTGATGAACCGCCACAGGCCATAGCCTCATTATAGGGCGTGCTGTGCGGGTTTGATGCGGGTTTGAGAACTGTGATGAACGCTTTTGCTCAATGGGCGGGGCGAGTTTAAGAATTGTGATCAACAACTTTAGGGACGGCTTCAAGAAGTGTGGTCAACCGTTGTCGCCTAATCAGGGGGCGAAGTTTGAAACTTTTGATCATGCGATCATAAGAACATATAAGAACTGTGATCAGCCGCTTTCGCCACTAGGGGCGTTTGTAAGAAACACGATCACCCGCTTTCGCCCGATGAGACGGCGAGTTCAAAACGTGATCACCCCCTCACCCCCCTCGCGCATTCGCCTAATCAGTGGGCGGCTTTAAGAAATGTCATCGACCGCTTCGCCCAAATGGTAGGGCGGGTTTTAAGTAGTGTGACCAACCGCTTTCGCCTCGTTCGCCTCATGAGGGTGGGCGGAAAAGAAGTATGATCAACTCTTTTCTCCTACTGCGAGGGCCGGTTTAAGCAATGCAGTCAACCGCTGTCGCCAAACCAGGAAGCGCATTCAAGAAATGTCATCAAGCGCCCCCCCCCCCCCCCCCCCACATCCCACGAGTTCGCCTTATGACAATGAGGGGGTGGGTTTAAGTAGCAGTGTTTCTTGCACACTGGGAAACCGACAACAACCTTGACCGAGACTGACAACGTTAACGCTGAAACTCGCAGCTTCCGACCAACCCCTCTTGTGGCCTCACACTTGCTGAAGTAGGTGAACACCTGAAAACAATCCCTGCAGATGCTGCGAAGCTTTCAAGCTCGACATTAGTTGTGGGTCTACAAGACCTGGATCGCATGGAACAAATATGGGCAGTTCCGCAAGGCCAATGATGAAGGTTGAGACGCTCGTGCATCTATTTCGGCATGTTTGCGTTTGCTGGGCAGATTTCTCGCCTGCGTGCACGGTTTAGCCCGACTACGCAGTCCAATATCTTTCCAAAAAGCGACTCCGGTGGTGGTTCCCCTGCAAAGCATCAATTTCAGAAGCAAAAAGCAGCAAAGCCCAGAGCATCCCAGAGCCCTACACGATCTGGCTCGTGTGTTCTTCTCGGCTCAGCACTTCTTGCCTCCTTGCTCATAGCCCCCTCACGACCATATCTCCCATTCTCCTCATCTTCTTCCTCCTCCTCATCATCATCATCAGACCATCAGAATCATCTTCCCTGTTTCAAGGATCTGACACACTGCTTGATGAGTGTACTCGAGAATGTAAGGCCGTCTCACAGAATCGAATAGCAAAACCGATCTGAGGCAGCCGCGGTTGCTGTGGAGGTTGGGAGGGGTGCTGCGGCTGCTGCGGTTGCAGAGGCTGCTGAGGCTGCTGAGGCTGCTGAGATTGAGGTGGAGCAGGGGGTGTTGGAATCTGCGACACGGGAGGCCTGATGATGCAGCGGGCTTGCAGACACTCATCTCTGCATTGCGCTGTTCTCTGTAAACTGAGAACAGGGCTTCTCACGCTCAGCCTGCAGCTGCTCAAACAGTTCGTGATTGAGTGGGAATCCAGCAAGAGACACCTCTGAGGAAGAGTGCATACGGCCACCCCGCCTGCGGCTCCCTACTCGGAGCTGTCTCCTGGACCAAATTGAGGACATAACAAGCGGAGGCAAGGAAGGTCTGGTGATGCGAAGGGGAACAACGGCACTTTCGTTGAACCCAGATCGTTGAACCGAACCTCATCTACCCTGAACCCCAACCACCTAACCCAGTCCAACCTCACCTTAACCCACAATGCGCATAATCTGATTCGGACCTCACGTACCCCAACTTAACCTAGCCCCAACCTACGCGAACCCAACCCAATTCAAGCTGACCTGACCCTGGCCTGAACTAACCCGACCTAGCCTAGCCTAACCTAACCTAACCCAACCCAACCCCCCAACCTACCCCGCCCTTGTCCAACCCACCCAACTAACCGTGACCTAACCTAAGCCAACTGAGCACCAACCTCTAACCCAGGCTTACCCAAGCCACATGAATCTACGCCTAGTCTAACCCAACCCAACCGAACCAAGACTAACCTATACCTCGACCTGGCCTGCCCTAACCTAGCCTAGAGGAACCTAACTGTGCCCCAACCTGCCCTTGGTCCAATCTATCGGAACCTAAAGTCAGGCACCACCCAATCACCCACCCTTT